CAATGGGACAAAAATATTTTTTTGCATACTCTTTTTGTCTGATAGCTTTATATTTCAAATACTCTGAAACCAGTAAAGGCAACTGTCCTGCATTCCTAATTCCCTAGGGATGAGGAACTAACAGTGCAAGTTGGGTTTACTACCCTATTTTCCACCATGGCCACAAAACCCTTCTCCTTACACAAAACTTGTTCTCAGTCACTACCCTTGAGTTCTTGTTTTGGGGGTGTGGTTTATAACCTTGGAATTTTCTACAGTTAAAAGCAGAGTGATTTTAGTCTACTCTTGTACCCAGTTAAGGAATCTATTCCAGAAGGTAACAATTCAATAATGCAGTGAATTGTTACCTGAAGAAGCAGAGCTCCTCCTATCAGGGAAATGTTCATGTACCGGGAGACCTTTTTAGTGAGCTCGAAGGGTTATGAGATGAACAATAACAACAGTGATAATAATAGTTAGTCCTTCTTGAGCACTTACTGTAGAGCAGGCATTGTACTGATTGCCCTAAGAGGGACTTGTTATTATTAACCCTATATTAGAGATGAGAAAACTGAGACTTTGAGAATTCCTCTGCCTTTTTCCAGGACACATGGTTAAGTAGTGGTAAAACCAGATTCCAGTCCAGGCACTCTAAATATATGCTTTATATAAGCATATATAAGCATATAATATATATGCATATATATATATGCTTATATATATGCATATATATAAGCATATATAAGCATATAATGTAATATAAGCATATACTATATGCTTTTCTACTGAACCCAAATCAATCTCCCTTTAATCCCTATGCAATTATTCTAAATTCTACCCTTTGGGGCCAACAAGAACATGTTTATTCCTCTTCCTCATTCATTTATGTAACAAAAAGAATATTAATTGAGCACCTCCTAGATGTTAGGTACTGTCTTCCAGCCTGTAATACAGCAATAAAAAAAGAACAAAGTTTCTGCTTTCATGGTGTTAGCATTCCCTCCCTTAAATTGTTTGAAAAGACTCACCAGATTTCTAAGGGTTTTCCTTTCCTCAAACGAAAGTTTCCTACTTCTTTCAACCATCTATCATAGGAAAAAGTTTCAAGTTCTTATCTATCATGGTTATCTGTCTCCTCTAAACATATTCCAGTTGTAAATATCTTTTTAAAAAATGAACCAACCAGACATGAACACAGTAATCCACATGCTTTCTGATGGTTCTGTTAAAAATAAGGCAACAGGCCCCCAATGGAGTTGCTTATGCTAAGACCCATGTCACCAAACCAAGACTTAAGTGAATTATAGTTTCCATTTCGAGACATGGAATCTTAAATTAGTAGATCAGAAATCGCCTAATCAGCATTAGTTAAATAATCTGCCTGTTAAACCCCTGCCATCCCCTAAAGGAAAGTGACTTTGCAATAACTTTGTCTAGTAACTTCCTTGTCCCCCCTCCTTTCTGGCTGTAAATGCCATTTTGCACTGGCCCTTGGAGCTCCTTCCTGTCAGCTAGTTTGGACGCTGCCCGACTTGAATCAATTTTTGCTCAAACTTAAATTTTTTTTTTTTTTGCGGTACGCGGGCCTCTCACTCTTGTGGCCTCCCTCGTTGCGGAGCACAGGCTCGGGACGCGCAGGCTCAGAGGCCATGGCTCACGGGCCCAGCCGCTCTGCGGCATGTGGGATCTTCTCGGACCGGGGCACGAACCCGGCAGGCGGACTCTCAACCACTGCGCCACCAGGGAAGCCCCTTAAACTTAAAATTTTTAATATGCCTCAGTTTATCTTTTCACAGGTCTGGTGACAGAAGAGGGAACCCAAGGAGACCCTCAACAGCCCTCAGGGGGACGAGAAACAGCAGTGAAGGTACCTGCACAGCCCCTTGAGTCGCGGCTTTCTCGCCGCCTCTGGAGGTGGTGGGTAAATTCACTCGAATCCTCCATCCATACATTGTGTGTTAAGAACTTTCAGACTTCGAGCACTTTTTCCCCCTGGCCTGGGTTCTGAAACTGGCCGGAGTTGGAATGCAACGGACATAAGAGACCGGACTGTTTCCGGTGATGGACGGGGCCGACTCTGAAACTAGACCGGGTCCCGCGTCAGACTTGGTCCGACTTAACGCTGGACTGGTCCGGAGTGACGCCTCGGGCGAATAAAATTTTGTTTGAAGGCAGAATGAGCAGGTTAATCTTACCAAAGATAAACATGAATTACAATGGCCGCAATGGAGAACTTTGAACCTAGACAAGATTATTCGTGTATGACGCGCCCTGGAGAAAATGCAGTCTCAGCCAAGCGCTCACCGTGAAGGGTGGAGGGAAAACCCCCTGGGACACCCCACTCTCTCTGGAACCCACAGACAGGATCCAGGGAAATCCTGCAGGAGCTGGCCAAGGGTAAGAATCCTTACGGAAGTCAGCTGGCCCATCTCTGTTTCTTTCTGTGCTGCCTGGTCGAGAGAGGAAGGTAAGGTTTCATTTTGTCCCTTCCTTTCCAAATCCAGACTGGCGGGAAAAACATTTGTAAGATTTTAATGTTACGGAACACAAGATTCTGTGCCCAACACACAGTGAGGCTAAACAAACCAAAATGTCGGAGTCTGGAGCAGAGGAAGGCTTAATACAGGACCAAGCAAGGAGAATAGGGTGGCTCATGTTCAAAAACCCCCGAACTCCCTGATGCTTCTCAGGGAGGAATTTTTATAGGTACAATTTGGGATGAGGGCTATAGGGGATGTGACTTTCTACTGATTGGTTGTTGGTGAGGTAACGGGGAGGTGCTCCAGGAATCTTGGGCTTAGCCTGAAGTTACCATCCTCCACCTAGGTGGGGGCTTTAGTTCCTGCAGAAGAACTCAAAGATACTGTTAAGTATATCCCTTGAGGGGGAATGAGTTCGAGGTTTTAATCACTGCACTATAGTTTCTTGATCGCTCCGCCTTTGTTTCTGCATTCTCTTACTTTCCTGACCACCAACTGTTTGAATGTGCTCTTTGGAACTCAGGGAAGGTCTAGGAGGTTGAAGCCCTCTTCCTGCAAACAAGAAATGCGGGACAGGGAAAGGGTTTGTACCCAGGAGGGCCCCACAGGATCCTGCTTGGTTTCAGATCCTTGAATTGTGTGACTTGTGAATTTGCTTTCAGGTACCATTCGTTGTCCATCCTTTCTTTCCCAGGGGCAGCTATTGCCTCTTGTTCGTCTTATTTTGTGTCCTGAGAACTTGGCTTGGCAACACTTTGGGGGCATGGCCAGGCAGAAATGTGGGTTGCCTAAGTTTATTAACAGGTCAGAAAGAGAGCAGAACCATTAAAGGCAGACAATCTGGGTTTATGTATTGGCTCTGCCTGTAATCTCCAAACCTCTTCTCTCCTGTAATATGGTCCAGTTAGACACGAAAATTTCTAGCATTCAATGTTTAAATCCATTTACTGTATCCAAGTTCCTTAAGCTTAGCGTTGTCCTTGAAATGTCCTCTAGCATCACAGACAAGATGCTGGAAGCCATCTTGCATTCATAACTTACCTGAACTGTGAGGTGGTGGTTTGGCTGAGTCACTTGGTAGACCACAGCATCCCCTAGTGGTCAGATTTAAACCTCAAGTCATGTATATTCTGAATGGCACAAGAAATTAACCTAACCCTTAGAGTGTCCGGCAACTGTGTTTTCCAAGTGTGGCACAGATTTTATTGGCTACCTTTGGTTCAGTGGGTGATGTATTCGCCACTATTTATCAGGGAACCTGATGCATCTCAGGTTCGCTTAACCCTCTACCCACTTCTCTATTCTGGGCTGCTGCTTTGTATGAGCTTAGGAATTCAAGCTGCTTCTCCTTTTCTTTTTTTGTGATTATAGCTACTTTTCTACTCTTGAGGCACTTCATTATTTCTACCTTATTTGCTGTCCGTGACTATAAACACATAGGCCGTTTAATATGAGAATGTTACCTAAAGTTCCTGTGAAAGAAATCGGGAAGGAATAGTCCACCTGGGGTGATTGTGGTTTAGACTAGGAAGCATTAGATCTGGAGTCAGCCCTGAATTAAAAGCCTAACTTTGCCACCTATTTGCTGGTGATATTAGTCAGGTTACTTAACTCTTCTAAGTTTACTCACAAGATAAGGATAACCTTACAGGGTTATTGTGGCTCATATGTAAAGCAAAGTGAACTACACAGCGGCCTCATGATCGGTTCATCTGGTCTGTAGTCCCTTCCTTCCATGGCAAATCATCTCTTGGGGATGGTTTGGTGGTAAAAGTTAATTCAAAATGAGGCCTTAGTTCTTCTTTGGTTATCTCAGCACAAACCTGTCAGACCCAAAGAAGCAGATCTCCAAGTCAAGGCTGAGATATAGTCCTCAGGCTACCAGGGAAAATGGGGAGCTCTACATCACTGCTACTCACCTCAGTAACTAGTAGGGAATGGCCTCTGCTGGGGGAGAATTAAGGCTGAATGCAGAGGCTTCTCCACTGCATAGTTGAGAAAATGTAGCTTTTTTGGTTTCCTCAATGATTCAGAGCCTCTTTGAAAAAGTCGTGTCTCACCTGAAATCTACATTGTGAGATATATGGAAAATCTTAAGACTAAACTCTGTTTCACCAGACAGGCAGCATTTCAAAATCATATGCCTCTGTACCCAGACCAGTGCCAGGCACAATAGATGCTCAGTTAAATCCCAAGGAACCCTAAAGGAATTATTTCAGTCGGTGAAAGGTGATGGGCAACATGTTTCTGGACTGAGAGTTTTCCAACTGTTTCTTAAAATGCTAGTCTAGTCCTCATGGGATTACATGTATTCATGATTGATCATGTCCTGTCACTTAATATCTGCAATCACATTTCCTGAGACAGAGTCCTCAGAATGTGAGAAAGATGGGGAAGGAAAAAGCATGAAGGAAACCCTGTCCAAAATTACAGGATTGCTGTATTTCGTAAAACTTGGTTTATTCTGAGTTTGCCTCCATCCTCCGTCCCCAGTATAATCAAACGTGCCTTTGAGGAAAAAGCATATGGGAGCAACAGGAAGTGTTTAGATGCATTTTATTCAACAATCAGGCCAGCCACCGCATCATAGTGTTCTTATGGGATTTCAGAACCTTGGTTCTCAGCAAGGCCCAGATTTTTGAATGAGGACAGGAGTCTTGTGTTTCCTATAGAAGAGATTGGGGGAAAAATATCAGCTTAAACTTTGTTGATAAAACGTGACAACGGGAGAAAATCAAGGAAAAAAGATCAGCTTTATTTAAAATAGAGAGGTTTGAGATTCATTTCCATTTCAATTTCTCTTATTCATTTACTCATTCACTTATTCATTAACTCCTCAAATATTGATTGAGAACGATAACATACATTAAGGATACAACAAAAGGGAAAAATGTCCGTCCTTACAGAGTTTACAGATCTAGCAGGGCGTTATAAAAAGCTTCTGAAATTAATCTTTAATCCATTGTTGCTTCTTTTCCTTCTGATGGCATTGTCCTAGCTACCAGGTTTCCATCTTAGCTGGTGCCTGGGCTACTTCAGGACCTTCTAATTGATTGATCCATTGCCTCAGAACTCTGGGGATTCTCATCTGTGAGATCTTGCAAAAGGAAATTATACCCTTATCCCATATGATAGCTGCTTTAGTTAGCATCTAGACAGAGCCCACGGATTGGCTTATTTTCCATAGCTGTGCTGTCCACTATCCCATATAACTATTTAAATTTAAATCAGTTAAAGTTAAGTAATATTAAAAATCCAGGATTTCATTTATAGTAGCCACATTTTAAGTGCTGGTACCATGGCTAGAGGCCTCCGTATTGGACAGCATTTCTGTCATTGCAGAAAGTTCTACAGGAGAATAGTAGTCTATAGAGAAGAATTTGCCAGTATAGATTTCCTAAGAAGACATACAGGAATTAGAAAAAATAAGTTCTTACTGAATATATCTGCTAAGCACTTAATGATCAAGGAGATGCAAGCCCTTGTTTGTCTACCCATCTCAAAGCTCAACAACTAAGGTCAGAGCCTGGCTCTAGTTAACCATACAATGTATTTGTTTGGGGCTTTTAATGGGCAGTAGAGACAAAGGCAAAATGGTACATTTGAAAATATGTTGCATTTGAAAAAGACACATTTTCTCTCTAGACCTGTTTTCTTATCAGAGAAATATAGGAAGAGAAGTTACATTTTCTGGCATTCAAATGTTGCTCCCATATTTACATAATTTTAAAAGAATAGAAAGAGCAGGTAGGACTGGTAGGTTATAAAGTCTAAGGAAACCGGGTGTCCCAGCTCTATGCTCATATTTTCCCAATGGTTCAGTCTAAATACTGGGCCTTTTGATCGCCGCACTTGGAAATTGACCAAGCCTCAAGGCTGTTGTGTTGCTTTCTCCTCCCCTTGGATGGAAATATGATGTTTGACCTTAAGGTCAAGAACATAAGCCATGAGAAAATTAACAAGTGGTTTCAAATTCCTTTTAACAAGTGGTTTCAAGTTCCTTTTACAAGTCCTTAATGTGGAAATTTTTTTGAAAAAGCAGAACCTCCAATGTTTTGGGCCTAAAACTTCAGGATATTAGATGTTTCTCCCTGGAGACCTATTTCCACAATTCTTGTTAAATACTGAGAATTTTCTGAAACGACTTAAAGCAGACCAAGGAGAGGGTGCATGGTACAAGGAATTAGAAATGTGGAATGCATGCAGTCATTTGAACCTAAATCAAAGTGTTAATACCACATCAGTTCCAAAATAACAGAGTTTTCTGGGTTGCTTGTGGGATCTCTTTTATTTGTTTTGATCATTCTACACCTTTATTTAACCTGGAGCGCTTTTGTGATGCTATGAAAATGCAAAGTCCAGTTTAAATGACACCCTTTTCATGAATCCTTTCTTGACCCTTCCAGTAGGAAGCAATCTGTATTTCTCCTTCACTCCTGTAGCATGTTGCTCACACCTCATTTGACTTCTTGTCACAAGTTACAAGAAGCTACCTTATCTGTGCTATTTTCTTTCAGTTATATCCACTAGGAAAGCAGAGGAGACTAGCACAATGCCTGGCATATAAGTGTTCAGCAGCTGAGTAAGACAGAAAATCTGTGGCGAATTTATTTCTCTGAGTACCTGAGTCTAATTCCCATCACCTACCCACCTACAATCAGTTCAGAAACTCCACTGAGGCTAGGTCTCACATCCATAAGTGATTGTGTTCACTAAAGTATTACATAAAGTGTTACAAAAATATGTTTTTGGTCACCTAATCTATATAATTCATATTTGCATACTTCAGGGCTTTAGTGAACACAATCATTGCTATCACCAAGAATGATTTTTTAAGTATAATGGTATTTTGGGTATGTGGGCTTTAAAAAATCCAGACTATCTCTTGTTCGCTATAAAAGGTTGGGTTTTTATCGTAGAAGTGATTTTTTTTTTAATTAATTGAAAGAAACATTCAAACACTTTCCTTCCTCTAGCCATTGTCCTTTCTTTAACACCTTTTATACAGCACCATGTTATTAATTCCTTTCTCACTTTTGTTCAGTTTTTTCTTCATCTTGAAATACCTCTCTCTCCTTCTTTATGTTCTAGAGAAAACCTCAGACTTTTCCAAATCCTAGCAGGCACAATTAGTTCTTTTTAGTTTTGTGCTCTCGGAGCACTTTGCTTATACTACCATTGACCACACCGTGTTAGCGTTGAGTGTAAGCCAACTGGGAGACAAAACATGTTGGATTTTCTTGTGGATCTCACAAATATTTAGTCTAGTACCTGACTTTAAAGTATAGTGGAAAGAGCAAGGATTTTGTACCAGATCTGCCACTCATGGCTGGGTGACCTTGAGCAAGTTATTTAAACTGAGTCTCAATTTCTTCATGGGTATATTAAGCTGAGTATTATTTACCTCAGAGAGTCATTGTGAATATTAAGTGCCTCGCATAATGCTTGACATAATAAATACTACTTTCTATCATAATGCACACACACACACACACACACACACACACGCACACCTCTCTATATAATCATAACATATATAATAAGGAGAAAAAGAAATCAAGAATTGTTTGGGGGAAAACTAGGTATTTTGTTTCTCTCATGGTGAGATTAATGTTATTGGTATAGTCTTTGAGGCTTAAAGGGATAATATATGTAAAAATTTGAAGACTTCTAGCTTAAAACATATATTTTAAAAGAAATTCAGGTTTGTACTCACATATTTTCAATACATAACACGCATTCATTAGAATAAGTAACTCCATCTGTCCCGCAGACAGGGTTATAAATCTTGGGACATCCACTCACTGCACTTGTACATTTAGCCTAAAAATGGAATGAAACAGAATCATTTCCCATCATTTTTCATTTGAATTTATAGCAGAGTCTCTAAAATCTCCCTGGAGTTGATCAGCTTAAAGTGGAAGCATGATTGTGATTGGGAGAGTGATACTAAGTGTTCCAAGAGGAAGAATCCAAAATTTGGAGTCAGAAAACCTGGTTTTAAGTAATGCCTCTGCTATCTGCAAGCTGTGTGACATTGGTAAATCTCTTGGTGTCTCTGAACCACAGTCACTTCATTTGCAAAACGGGAATGATGTTGTTTCCCTACCTATCTCATCACGGCGTTGTGAGGTTTGAGTAAAGTGAGTGAGATAATGTTCAAATTTACAATTACTACCTGTGCTGGCTCTCTCAGGTCAGCCACACCTTGAGGCGTGTTCTTCCTTGCACACGGTAGTCCTGTCACCCTGGTCTTCTCTAAGTCAATTAAAGACACGTGGTGCCTTCTACCCTTGGGGTTTTTGCACAGCCTGTTTACTGTCAGTAAGAACTAGTAATTATCAAATGACTTTCACAGGGCAGACACTGTCCTAAGTGCTTTTCATGTATTATTATATTTTTATAATATTTATATTTATAATATTAATATTATAATATATATATTATATTTATAATATTAATATTATAATATTATTAATAATATTATTATATTTAAACTCATAGACTATCCTATGAACTTTTTATTATACTCTTCTTCTGGTAAAGGCAGTGAGGCACAAAGAAATTGAATCACCCAAGGCTACACACCTAATAATTACTGGATCCAGGATTTAAACCCAGTCAATCTAGGTCCTGAGCTTTAGCTCTTAACCACTTTACTCTTCTACTTCTCCCTTTGCTAACACTCATTTATCCTTCAGGGCTGAAAATAAATCTCACCGGCTTAGGGCACCTTCCCTGATTTAACTAGGCTAGGTTTCTAATGGAACCAGAACTTCTTTATAACACATCACCAATGTAGTAATTTATTTACTTATACACTTTTGGTTTGCCATCGGCCTTCCCACTAAATATAAATGTAACGAGAAGAGGGACGCTTCATCCTCTGGTCTCCAAATTTACTGAAATTTACATTATAAGTACAAGAAAAACTGGAAAAGTTAGATATAGAATATTTTTCTAGAGGAAGAGCCTAGTTTATTATTATTATTGCTCATTATAAATTAGAGCTCCACCTTGTTGATGAAGAGAACTTTATGGCAACATGGTCAAACTGGCTGTAAGGAGGAAGGGCTGCTTGGAGTGATGTTTAGAAGGTTTCCACTTAAAATCCTTGTCCTACCAGATAGCCCTAGTATATATAAAAACTCCTTGACAGCAAGCATAATATGACTACAGAGAAATTGCCTATGTGTCAGTCAATTTGTCCTTCAACATAAGCGCCTGTGGCGGAACTACAATTACTATCCACATTTAATGGGTTAAGTCTTGCCAGCATTCATACTCCTCATATTAACTTAAATTGAAAGGTGAGTTAGACTACGCTTTGGGTGGAACAAACAGTCTTAGCCCCAGAAATAAAATTTACAAAATTGTCTTTACCTTTCTTTCCAGGAAGTTAGCTCTAGTACTACCTAGAAAACATAAATCAGACATGTCAAGTTGGGTCATGAATGGGAGAAGCCTGAGGTATTCTCATTCAGAATTTTCTGCTTCCATTTAAGTCTGTGACTTCTCTGCTTCCTCTTCCACCACCCACCTCTTCTTATTACCATTTTTTTTCAAGTATGTCTCATTGGTGTCCATTCACTCCCTGCCTGCTGAAACCTCAAAAAAATTAAGCAAAAATTTGATTAGGACCAAAGTATCTCAATTTGATATTTAAGACAAGTTGACCCATTTCCTTGAAAATAGAAATGATGTACTTACTGCTTCAAATGTGTCAGGCACAGAGCAAATACCTTCTGAACGCTCACTGACATTCTAGTAACAGCCAGCTTGTTGATCTCACAGTGATGTAGGAAATATAAGTATCTTTATCTCAGTTTATAGATAAAGATATGGAAAGTTTCTATAACTAGCTGTGAACACTAGCAATAACCAGGTCTTCTGATGAAAAACTAACTTTTGCACTTACATGTAAGTCTTCTTTTGTAAGTAATGTTTTAAAAAAAATGGAGCTCTTTTGACAATTTACCTTCAGTTCCCAAAGAGCTCCCTCTCTCCATTGCATTATACTGACTATTAGTTCAATTCACATTTCTTGAATTTACAGGTAGATACTTAAAATTGCCATGCTGCATTCTCTAGAAAATAGCAGGTCTTGTTGACATCACCATCAGGAGATGGTGATTGTGGGTGAGCTCACTGCAGGGAAGGAGAACTAATTTGATAGTATCCAGAGGAAGAAATGTTGGTGAGATTTGATTTTGATACTAACAATCTCTGAGGTCATCTAGAGGAAGTAGTTCTTCCTACCTAAATGTATTGAAAAGTAGGGGCTTGGAGAAGAAGGCCCCTGGAATAGTCAGAACCTGATGCGGTGAGAGTCCCACTGAATTTTAGAATCGAGTTGAGTCTAAAATTTAATGAGCACGTAGTCACCACAGGCATCTATATGTATTAATTTATATGCATGAGAAGGGGAAAAGGGACCACTGCTCCCATAAATATTTAGCAAATACAGCAAATAGTATTGTTCCTTTTCTTCGCGAAGTACTGATTTGGCTGTCAGTAGGTTTCTTTGCTAGATCTGATAAAAATTTAAAAGTGTTAACCATCTCCGAAGACAAAAAGGAAGCTGATGCCAATGCCAGGGGTTCAGATCATCTGTCAAAATTATTAAGACAGTTTGAAGATATAAACATACAGTCTATTCAAGAAGAATATTTTTTCTAGAAATATTCTGTAGGTCAAAAATAAAAATTTTAATCAAATTCTGCCGTTTATACTGGAGTAACTGGAAATCTTTGTTAGCTATTTATGCAGTTCCATGAGAACATAAAATTTGTAAATTGGCCTTAAATATTTACAGAGTTAGAAGTATACTTGATATTGAAATAATCCCTTCTATTTTCTACCATAGTTCTGACAAAGAGTCAGCCTCATTACCTGGGGAAAACCATTTCATGTCTGGGCAGTTCTCACTAGTAAAATTGTTTTCCTGTGTTATGTTAAAATCCCTCTTTCTATATATAATTCTCATCCACTGATCTTATTTCCTCTCACTGGGACCAAAAGATCTGTCCAAGAGTAGACTCTAAGTCTAGAAAGTAATGTGGTCAGTAAAGCAACTGGTCAAAAAGGTTTTACTTAAATCAGAAAAATATGCAAAGCCACCTACCAGATAAACTCAATAGGACCAAGGCAGTGAGAAGGAAGATGCTGGCTACCTTCATGGCTGGATTGCTGGCTCCAGGGCTCAGTCAAAAACTGAACTCAACTTACCACTTCTCTCTAGAATCCTGGGACTGGAAGGTTCATACAGGCAGGATGGTATCCCAGTCTCCACCTACTGCCCTTTGTCACAGATCTCCTTGGTTATTGATTGACTCCGTAGCATAGCCTGGACCCAGCACAGCACCAGTGTAAGAAAGGTGAGAGGAATGCTGTGGGCCTAAAATGTGCAAGGTAAAGACTGTCAGGAAGAGATGACTAGTGGTTAGTTAGTTGGTTCTTGCCCTAACTTCCTCTGTGACTATGGAGAGGCCCTTCCTTTCTCAAGCCCTGGTTTTCTCATCTGTAAGGTGAACTCCAAGGTCCTTGTACTCTGTAGTTCTGGGTGCATGAATAGGTGTGAATATCTAAAAAACTCCCTTCATTCTTTCTTCCTTTTCTTCAGCTTTTCCATTTTTTATTCTCTCTCTTTTCTCTCTTTTTCTATCACCCATTCACAAAGCCTAAAGTAGCTGAGAGAGGGACAGGGTAGAGGTAGGGAGGACTCAGTTCCCTAAGGTGTGTGTGTGCTCCGAGGTAGAGTGGGCTGACCAGAGATGCTTACCAGCTTTTTGTCCTTGGACAAGTAGTTCACTTTCACTGAGCTTCAGTATATTCATCTGAGAACAGAAATAATAACAGTACCTACCTCAAAGTGTTGGTCTTTCATTCTAAAATATGCATTGTGTCTGTCATGTGTGGTTTGGGGAGACAATTCTCAATTATCTCTCATGTTTCTGCATGTCTCATGGGTAGAGACACTGACTGCCTGTGTTTCAAACAACTTTTTCAAGAGGCTTTGTATAACAAACAGCCTTGGGAGGTGGAATACTGTCTCTCTCTGGAGTAAAGGGGAGGCTTGTTTACCGTTGGGTGTAATAAGATAGTATCTTTCACCAGGGTGAAGTTTAGGCAGGCATAGTGCTCTTTTTAAAAGATTAGGGGGCTTCCCTCGTGGCGCAGTGGTTCAGAGTCCGCCTGCTGATGCAGGGAACACGGGTTCGTGCCCCGGTCCGGGAAGATCCCACATGCCGCGGAGCAACTAAGCCCAGGCACCCCAAGAACTGAGCCTGCACTCTAGAGCCCGCGAGCCACAACTACTGAAGCCAGTGTGTCTAGAGCCCATGCTCTGCAACAAGAGAAGCCACCGTGATGAGAAGCCCGCGCACCGCAATGAAGAGTAGCCCCCACTTGCTGCAACTAGAGAAAGCCCGCACACAGCAATGAAGACCCAATGCAACCAAAAATTAAAAAAAATAATAATAATAAAAGTAATATTTTTAAAAAATAAAAAGGGATTTTTTTAACATCTTTATTGGAGTATAATTGCTTTATAATGGTGTGTTAGTTTCTGCTTTATAACAAAGTGAATCAGTTATACATATGCATATATCCCCATATCTCTTTCCTCTTGCGTCTCCCTCCCTCCCACCCTCCCTATCCCACCCCTCTAGGTGGTCACAAAGCACCAAGCTGATCTCCCTGTGCTATGTGGCTGCTTCCCACTAGCTATCTGTTTTACATTTGGTAGTGTATATTGGAAGAATCAACATTGTGGAAATGACTATACTACCCAAAGCAATCTACAGATTCAATGCAATCCCTATCAAATTACCACTGGCATTTTTCACAGAACTAGAACAAAAAATTTCACAATTTGTATGGAAACACAAAAGACCCCAAATAGCCAAAGCAATCTTGAGAAAGAAAAATGGAGCTGGAGGAATCAGGCTCCCTGTCTTCAGACTATACTACAAAGCTACAGTAATCAAGACAGTATGGTACTGGCACAAAAACAGAAATATATATCAATGGAACAGGATAGAAAGCCCAGAGATAAACCCATGCACATATGGTCACCTTATCTTTGATAAAGGAGGCAAGAATATACAATGGAGAAAAGACAGCCTCTTCAATAAGTGGTGCTGGGAAAACTGGACAGCTACATGTAAAAGAATGAAATTAGAACACTCCCTAACACCATACCCAAAAATAAGCTCAAAATGGATTAAAGACCTAAATGTAAGGCCAGACACTCTCAAACTCTAGAGGAAAACATAGGCATAACACTCTATGACATAAATCACAGCAAGATACTTTTTGACCCACCTCCTAGAGAAATGGAAATAAAAACAAAAATAAACAAATAGGACCTAAATAAACTTAAAAGCTGTTGCACAGCAAAGGAAACCATAAACAGGACGAAAAAACAACCCTCAGAATGGGAGAAAACATTTGCAAATGAAGCAACTGACAAAGGATTAATCTCCAAAATTTACAAGCAGCTCATGCAGCTCAATATAAAAAAAACAAACAGCCCAATCCAAAAACGGGCAGAATGCCTAAACAGACATTTCTCCAAAGAAGATATACAGATTGCCAACAAACACATGAAAGAATGCTCAACATCATTAATCATTAGAGAAATGCAAATCAAAACCACAATGAGGTATCACCTCACACCAGTCAGAATGGCCATCATCAAAAAATCTGCAAACAATAAATGCTGGAGAGGGTGTGGAGAAAAGGGAACCCTCTTGCCCTGTTGGTGGGAATATAAATTGATACAGCCACTATGGAGAACAGTATGGAGGTTCCTTAAAAAACTAAAAATAGAACTACCAGTAATCCCACTACTGGGCATATACCCTGAGAAAACCATAATTCAAAGAGTCATGTACCACAATGTTCACTGCAGCTCTATTTACAAGATTAGGGATTTTTAAAACCTTGGCATCCTTCCCTTGTAACACACTGTGCTTCCTGTGCAGGTACCCTTGGCCCTCTTTGTGTCACCCTATGGAGGCTGGGCCTGGGGAACCAGAGCAAATGCTGGCAGTCTGGCTATTGCTATTGAATGATTATATCTCTTTTGTCTGAGTCAGGAGTCTGTGTCTTCTGCCAGCATCTCTTTAACTGTGGCAGGCTAACATGTCAGCTTCCAAGTATAGGGTATAATCATAGACCCTCCCAGGTCTTGATGTATGTTAAGAACTGCACTCATATATGTGGATGGATCAGTGAGTGAAAATGACAGCCCCGGTCCTCATGGAGCTTCCATTGCATTTAAGTTGGGGGAGACAGGCAATAAAAAAGTAATCAAATAATTATAAAGGTTATAATAAATATTATGGAGAAAAAGAATAGAGAAGATAAACCTAGAGATTTGGGGAGGTAGTTATCACAAATTGGTCAGAGAATGCCTTGCTGATTGACATTTGAACAGAAACATGGAGGAAGTGAGGAATTGAATCGTGCAAATATCCAAGAACATGCACTCCAGACAGAGGGAATAGAAAGTGCAAAGTCTCTGAGGCAGAAACTTGCTGATGTGTTTGAGAAACATCCAAGATGACCGTCTGGCTGGAGCAAAGTGATAGAGAGAAACATAGGCAGTAAGATAAAGGAAATAGTGGGGGCCTGGATAATGAAGAGCCATGTAGGCCATAGTAAGGACTTTGGTTTTTAACCAACGGAAAGCCATTGGAGAGTTATGGCAGAAGAATGACATGATATGACATTCCTTCTAAAAGGGTTTTGTGCTCTATGAGAATAAACTATAAGGCAACGACAGCAGCAAAAATCCTAATGTTAGGCTATTATAATAGTCCAACCAAGAGACGATGTTGAAAGTGGAAGAAAGAGGTTGATTTTATAGTTGAGGTGAATTAATACATATAAAGCTTTTAGAACAGTTTCTGGCACGTGGTAAACATTTAGAAATATTATCCATCACTATTATTTTTATTGGTGTTATTTTTTCAGTATTTAAAATGTTGTTCCATCTAACCAGAAGGTTCTTCTTTAAACTTACACAGCAATGAATTTTTCCTAAGTCTTTAAAATTCACTTTGAATGCTGTTTCTTACTGGAAAGCTTCCTCAGCTCATTCTGAGTTTCCATGGTATCTCGAACATGCTTGAATATAATACATAATACACTGTTGAAACTGTTTGTGTATATAACTAGCTTCCTCATCTTCCACTGATGCTTCAACCTTTACCATCCTAGCTTCCTCCACCTTGTTTAGGTCACCAATTCAGGTTGATTAATTCCGTAAACATTTTTCCAGAGCACATGACCTCTAATTCTTCAAACTTGATCAAATGCAGTATAATCTGTTTTCTTGGGTTTCATGATTCCACAGTCTCCTACATTTCCTCATACCTTCTTCATCCTCACGTCATCTCCATTCTCTCTGTTGACACTTCCTCCTCAAATGAGTGAAGACTTGGTGTTTCTCAAGTATTGGTCCTGGGTCCTAGTCCTTCCTCACTTTTCAATTTCTGTAGGTGAGCTCATTTATCCACATTATTTAAATTACATATATAATTATATATATATTTCTCAAATATGTATCTCTTTCCTATATCTCTCCTTTGATCTTCATACCAAATATTAAGTGCCTTCTTGACAATTTTGGACATCCTATAGGCACTTCAAATTTAATGTTCTATACTACTGTTTTAATCATTTACCACAAATATTTGTCTCTTCAGTCTCCTCCTGGCTTCTTTTCCTTCCAGCTGGTTGGGCAAGTCAAAACCTAAGTGTTCTCCTTGATGCCTCCCTCTGCCCTTACCATGGACCATCTTCCACTCTTAATTCGTTACCAAGTTCTCTTCTTGACTCTGTGTCCAAAATAACCTCAATTCTGGACACTTCTCATTACCTTACACTGTCATATCTAAGATGATGCCATCATTTCCACTTTGACTTTCTGAAATTACCTTCAGGTAGTTTCCCAACAACATCTACCATTATTTCATCCTCAAAGCTACTCACCATAGAACAGTTCAATGATCTTTATAGAGTGTAAATGTGATCATGCTGCTCTCCAGTTTCCCATTGTTCAAAATCCTCAGGAAGGATTGATTTGAATGATATGGCTCCTTTCTACCTCTCTCACTTTATCCCCCACCATTTTCTTCCTTGTTCAATCTGTCAAGCTACATTGGACTTTTCTCTGTTCCCTCATAATAGAGGGGGAGAAAAAGCATCTAGCTTTTAATGCTCAAGATTCAGGCTAAATTTTCTCATGGAGCTGCTTT